TATATATACACTAACCGGAAGAGTTGGATTATTCGCATCAAGCTAGTGTGTATGCGCTTCACCAGGTTTTAATTTAAGGAGTTCCTCTTCCCAGTTTTCACAATTCACTGCAAACTTCATCCGCCATAGTTATTTCATATTTTCATACTAATAATTTTAGCCTGGTTTGCTTTATCGCATCCGTAGAACTCATTTAGTGGTGGTGGTGGTGGTGGTCAATCCTGATTGAGGTGATCGCAATCGATCAGGGACACAGGTCGCGGACACGGTACGGTTTTATTAGGCTATCGCTCTTCACTGTAAGGACACTGTATAAGCCTGTGTACTGTGCTACAACACGGTAAAAGCTCACGAGATCAAAAAAGGCCACTTCCGGCTCTGTTCTGTTGTCCAACACGAGGTGACTGAACTGCATAATTGCTCATCGGGGCACCTGGAACAACCCGTGTTTTGTAGGATGCCGTTGACTGTGTGCAAAGGTGAGAGGTGCAACCTCGAACAGCAACTGACTGGTCGACTGAGGTACCGTTAACCAACCGTCTGCTCCAGACTGAGAGAACGAGTCGCTGGGGTTACTGTTCCATACCATGTCCTGAGTATATTCAGAGAGCAAACTAATCCTCGGGCAAAAGGTAGGCATCTAATTGTTTTCATTATGAGACAGCGATAGCAACAAGCAAGGCGCCAGATGTGTTTGTCCGCCTCTCGTTTTGTCTAACTTTGTAAACCACTACTCCTGACATGTCTTAATGCAGTTGCCATCAAACGTTTGATTCTCCCTTTCTTTATCCAGGCCCTCAAACTTGTAGCCAAAACTCTATTGGCACTTGTCAATGTGAATGTGGCCACGAAAATCCATCCGGACAGTCTTCTCACTCCGGACCAATTCACCGATTATCGGAAGCGATTGCTCGAAGAGTTCTGCATGGCACTAACTGTAAGTGCTCACTTCGTATTTCGCGCTCTTCTCTGTCTGGGTTAGGAGCAATGGACTGGAAATGATTTTATCAGTGTACACTTCAGAATACTGATGAAATAGCTTTTCCGTACGGTATTATCGCATCTGTCTAATTCAGATCATTCCTGTTCCCTCTTTTTGAGCTGGTTGCTACACACGATATCAGTGCTGCTAGATAAACTGCACCCCTAATATTTCAGCTAGTTTTCCCATTTGCCCAATGGATTTAGTGTTTATATTTCAAAGATTAGATGTCCCTAGTTTATTTATCTGGTTGATTCGATATTTCTATCTCATCACAGTGGCTTGCGTTTTAATTCAGCGAAGGCGCCCGGCAATCACGATGTGCTAACTACGTTTATAACAAACAGTTGTGTTTCCGTCCCCTATTTCCCCATCCAGTCTCCTTTACAACCATCCGAGATCACTCAGCTTGATCAGTTGTACGAGACAGAGTCATTTCGTGCCAGTTGTCAATCTCTCAGTCGTGAATTGGCCACTCTTGCGAATCACTTCTTGGAGGAGCTGGAACACAATCATTCCCATCACCAGCACCCGTCAGTCGGACCATGTTCCTTATCTACCGAATCCGGTGGGACCAGTCAAACAAGTGGACATGAGTTTCGCCCCTGGGAGTGCTCGTCACCTCCTACATGTCCTCAGATTTATGCAACTCTGCGCGAACTCGAGGACAGGACAAGACAATTAATTCACGGTCCTCGATCAGTGTGTGCGTTGCACAACTGACCAGGCAGCAACTGTCCAACAGTCCATTTGACGACTGTCAAACGAAACATTGCCCCGGTGCACTTCAAACT